ATTTAGTAGCAGAGGGGCAGATATTTAGCTAAAGGAACCTGTAAGTCATTTAGTATAACTGTCTCATTTTATAAATGAGGAAATTAAGGTGTACTTTCCCCAGATTCATACTTTGACATGTATTGTTTCTTTCCCTTGTTCCCTAACTGGATAAAAGAGATGTTTTATTGCTCATTTTTGCTTAGCTTAATTCTACAAAGTTAATATTACAAGTGAATGGGCATTCCTCAAATGCCAGTCTTTAGCATAGTACTTAGGATGTAGCAGATATTCAGTTGAACATTTTTTGTTCTTTCTTGAAAGTGTTCAAATGTGAATATTTGACAATGTTTGCTTCGATTTGCATTTGTACAACTTTAATTTTAATTAAAACCAATTTGGTTTAACTTTATTCAAAGCATTTCCTTCATAATAAATAAGACACTTCTTTCCTTTTTTACCACTGTGAAGCTATTTTTTCCCTTTAATACTAAAAGCTAGTAGTGAGACAGAATCCAAATCAGTTCTGGACACACCATCATTCAGGACACCTTCCAACAGAAAAAGTAAATCAGTCAATTATTTATATACATACATATCGTTCTTGAGACCAGAAAACTGACAAGCTTGAAATTGTTCAACTTGTCTTTGTAGTCAATAGAGAAGACAGTTAGTATTGGGATACAACCATCACAGCTGGCCTAAATCCAGAGCAAGCCAAAAAAGTACCATAAAGTCTTTTGGGTGTTTGGTATAGAAGACTGTTGAATTCAGGGTAGGTAGCACTGTTAAGCAACTAATTAAAAATACATGAAAGCTAGCTGAGGTACTAGTTAGTCTTTAATTTTAAAGCAAAATGAAGATCATGGACTTATGGTAAAAGTACACTATAAAATTAGAAGCTTTACAGTAAATATCTCCCACTGTAGTTGAAGGAACAATAACTATTTCTCAGAATTAATAAACTGCATAACTGAAAACTAACTACTGAGTTTTATGACAAAGTACAGAAATCAGGACTAATGAGGCATTACTATGTAAACCTTTGGATTAACAGGGTATGCTCACTGTACTAAAAAGGAAACAAGAAATCACTTAATGTCTAGATGTTTATTGTCATCACAATAAGTAAAACAAAACTGAGTCAATCTGGGCTTAAATTTGAACTCAGAAAATATCCAAAATGGAACACATAAAAAAATTTTAGATTGTAATTCTAATTCTAAAATGTACCAGACTCAAGTTGTATGACTTACAGAATTGAATAAAGACAAGAAACTCTGACCCAATCATCACTGCTTCCAGGATTTGCCAAAAGAAATCCTATAGCTTCCCTGACACTCAATTTCTCTCCATAAACTGGGTAGAACAATGCTACATGCTATTGGACTGTTTGAAGAAAAGATTTATAAGGTTTTACCTGCAAATAAAAAATTACATAAATAAAAACAGCAACTGCTAACTCTTTTAAGAATCTTTTTTTTTTCAGTAGAGTATTACAATGTTTTCTACAATAAAATATTGAACCTTCTTTTTAATGTCTTAGTAAGTGTGTTATCTATGCTATAGCATAACGTCAAAAATATTAGCCACTCCAATCCATATAAGTATGATCTAGTCTTAAACATAACTTTTCATCAATAGAATGAAGCCATCTCAAATGTAATGTTTTCCATCCTATTTTCTCCATTCCAATTCTATAATAGTTTCAAGTAAAACTTCTTTTTAAAGGAAAAGAAAAACAGTAAATTTTTGTTGTTGTTATTTAAACTAAATAGAGAACTCTGAAGATACTGGGAGATAAGAGGAAGGGAAAACTTGCTTTGATATTCTTAAGTAGCCAAAAAGGGATGAAATATAAATTAAAGAAGTCTACAAGTAGATGGGGTTATACCTTTGTTTTCTGTTGCCAGTATGAGTCTTCCTTTAGAAAAGACATGAGTTTTCTATTTTCTAATGCATAAAGTTTATTTTAAAATTCTACTGTTTAAAAAATACAAATACCATTCTTACAGCATATTTAAATACACCTCTACAAATAAATCTCCTTTCAAGTGAGGAGTGTAAGTGATTTGAACCTTTTGTCTACAGAATAGGAATGAGGAAACATACAGGCTTGTTAACCAGGATTTATGCTGAAGATATATTCATAAATCATAACAAACATAAGACACTAACAAGTGAACTATGTCTTTATTTTCTTGAATAACTTAAAGCATACACATTTTCAACTCTTAAGAAAGTTATCAATCTCATTAAGTGTCATGGTTTCAACTTTGAATGCTTATTCTTTTTTCGAAGACTTATTTAATATTTAAAATTACAATGGAATACTTTCATCAAATAGCATTTTAATTTATTAAAAAAGAATAAATTAATTATGAACTGAGATAATAAATAACATTGTACAACTAAAGGCCTACATCACAAACTATATTTATATTTATAGAGTAGGAGGACAAGTACAGACTTGTTTGTGACCTGCAAGCTCAGTAATTTAAAAACTGATCAACCTAAATGAAAAACTCATTTGATGATTTTTAAATGCCACATGTATTTTGAATCTAATTTTAATCTTTAATATTAATGGTACCAAAGAATGATATAGGATATAATAGAAAACTGATAATCCCTCAGAACATTATCAGGTGATCAAAAAAACTGGTAAAAAAGACTTGTCTCAAAAATGTGAAATAAGATACCTAATGACGTGCAGTCATATCTACTAAAAATGATTTAAATTTAACATACATATATAGATACATTTTTCAAATATTGAGAATGTACATATTTCTTAGAAGATGGTAGTGAAGGACCTTTCATTTTTTAACACCTTTATTTTATACACTTATTTGGCCAATGATAAAAATCCAGTTGTATAGAGCAGGGGTATGACACTATGTATTAAGTATATTCAATAATGTTTATTATTAATATTATTTCAGTTTTAAATACAAGGAAATAATTTTTGTAAAAAGAATTTTTAAAGTTGAGAATTAAATGCTAATAATGCTAGTCATTATGATTTTAAAATAAAGATACAAAATGGTATATATGGGGATTAAGATGTTTGTTGCCATTTAGTTTTTCACAGCAAGTACCAAAAACTGAAGTGCACTCTACTTCAGAAGTTTTTCTCATGTTAAAGTCAGCATAATTAGGATGTGTACATGTCCTTTTATCTATAAAAGGATAATTAAATTGCATTATTTACTTTAAAAAAGTACTCTACTATCATCATTTCATTACACAAACATTTCACTAAATGCCTATACAATTCAATTATTTTAAAAGTATAAAGATTCTTTCCTCATAAGTACACATAATATATTAAAATATATCTTACCAATTCAACTTTAAAAAATCTGCCTTTCTTAAAAGACTTAAGTACTTTAACTTGGATATCCCTATCTAAATTTTTACCAAGGTATTTCATTCAATTTACAGATTTCAGGGACACTAAGTCACATCATATAGTGGTACAAAACAACATGGTTTTGTGGAAATATAGATGATAAGCAGGAAAAGAACCATCTCTTCATTTAAATGACAGGAGGTAATTCATTTTTTAAAAAGGGGTGAGTGTATCCACTGAAAAATAAAGCCTGCTTTCTCTGCTCCCTCCCAACAGAGAAGTATATATCTGATCTATTCAAGTTGCCACAATATGGCAAGCCAAAAAAAATCTTTTAAAATATTTACACTTCATTTTAAAATTAAAACTGAAAGTAAGATATTCAACTGCCAACTACTGCATAGTATGAAACTAGTAAAGCCTGCACTGACCTACTTCATACTAGCATCATGACAACATGGATGCATGCCAAGAAAATAATGAAAATTTCTATAACACAAACCTTAATTTTATATTTAAAAATTCATTGTTTTTAAATGTGTAAATACTGTAAGTGCAATGCCAGTTGCTGTATGTTTGTTTTTAAAATGCAATATAAAAGTTAGTGGTTTTCATTATTTTAGCAGTGATATTCAAATGATGGACCTACAAGGTTCATTTTCAAAATTAAGCCTTTTTTTTAACATCACATTTAATTCTATTTTAAACTTCTATTAAAAGCAATCTCTTAGACCAAATTCCAAATATTGCTTTCCATTTAAAAAATAGTGCTATGCTTTAAAAAAAAATGTCAGTTAATGAAAAAAATCCTACAAAACAATGCAAGTTCATGTTCAAAGAATATTTGCAATAGCTCTAACAGAAGATGAACTTAATTTAATGTATTTAATTATTAAGACTGCTACCAGTCTGTAAGAGTTCAATCTAATGCTCAAATATTGGAAATTCTCATACAGGAAAACACAGGAACAGCAAGAGTGTTTCATCTGTAGTTTCTATCTTTTTTCTTTCTTTTAATTACACGAAATGGCAAGACATTTATTTGATTCCCCACTTTTTAAATTAAAAATTCACTTTACAGTGTAAACTACTACTTTAAAATATTTCATATTAAAGAAGCATTTATTTACAATCGATGTAAAGAATAAGCTCCCTAGAAGGGAAATTCAACGTGAGAATAAAGGAGGCAAAAACATCCAGAAACAGCAGCTAACCCAACTAAAAGGAAGAGACACATTAGGTTTTGTGCTGCATATTAATATTCTTACCCACAATGTCTGTTTGGTGAAAATTCACAATACACTTCTTCCTCTCTCTATGACTACAAAAAGGAGTAAACACATTTCACATTCCCAGTTACAAATTCATGTTATCATCATGCAATAATTACTTAATTTTGACCCATATTTCTCTATACTAAGTGAAAAACACAAATAACTTGTTTATCTGCATTAACAATTGAGGACCGGGTAAAAGCATATTTTGGCTAAGGAGACCAGGGGTTGATGCAAAGTCCCCACACCACCAGAGGTCCTACAAATTTGCACCCAAGTCGGGAAACCCACATTCAATGAATGCATCAGCCTCCTCATCCGCCGCCCCCCACCCCCTTTGCAGCAGAAATGTGCCTGGGCTTTTTCACCCCAGCGATGGAGGATCCTCTTACCAGATGGAGTTCTTGATCTTGTGTTGCAGCGCGTTGGCCTCTGTCCCTGGCAGCCCGGGCACAAGGGCTGGCAGAGCCACCCCCGAGTTGGGGGCGCTGGGGGGAAGCTGCTGATGGGCATCAGGCTGCTGTGGTGGCGGCTGTTGTTGTTCCTCTGCCATAGCTGCTGGAGGGGTGGGGGAGAGGGAGGGAGGGAAGATGGGGGCGCGGGGAAGGGTGAGGGAAGAGACGGGGAAGGGAGGACGAAAGGGGGGGGAGGAGAAGGGGGAGGGGTAGAGGAGGAGGAGGAGGAAGGAAGCTGGATAAGCTAGGCCTATACCCCAGGACTCGAGTAAGTCGCTTTCGCCTGCCGCCTGGGGGACATCACCGGGGAGACCGAGCGGCTCCTCACGGCCGGGCGCTTCACCGCGGCAGAGGCATGGCGGCGCCCCTCAGCCCCCCGCCGCCTCCTCCCGTCAGCGGCCGGGGCTGGGGGGTGAGGAGGGGGACGTCTGAAGACGAGGTGTTGGGGCAGGCTCCCCCCAGATCCGAGGAGAACGGCCGCTCCGAGACTTGGCGGCCCGGCCTTCCTTCCTTGTCCCCGGGGCTTTCTACTCCGAGGTCCCCACGCTGCTGCAGCCCCAGGCTCCGCTCCACGCCACTCCCCACGCCGCCGCCGCCACCGCCGCCGCCGCCGCTCGCTCCCGGCCCCGCCGCCGCCGCTGCCCTGCCAGCCCCGGAGCAGCCCAGTGCGCGCAGCCGCACTGCGGCCCGGCGCAGACGGCACAACACCTACCGCTCGGCCGGGGGGGGGGGCGTGGACGAGTGTGTGCGGGGCACGGCGCAGGGGGCCGGGAGGGGGGCGCACGGGCGCGGAGCGCGCGGCTGCGGAGGGTGGGCGCGGGCCGGTGGGCCTGGGGACCGCGCCGCCGGAGGCCCGTGGGGGCCAGGCGGAGCGGTGGAGGGGAGCAGGAAAACGTGGGGGAGGTGCTGGCAAGAGAAAGAACTTGCGTGAGGAGGAGAAACCAAATTGAATAATATTTAGCGTCGATTTTTTTTTTTTTTGGTATCTTCAAATCAAGTAAAGTGAAATTGGTCAATATCCGCCCCCCTCCCCTCGACAAGTGAGGATTACTTCCTCTCTGAGTAAATGAAGAGCATTGAAGCAGGTAAGAGGATAAGCTGACTTTGCTGAAGCCCCCAAAGAAGAACACCCGTTGGAATTAACCACCCTTGAGGTAATTCGGTCTTGAACGGAAATCGCAAGTCAGGAGCTGGGTTGAGTGCTCCTGGGTCGGGCATTCAAAGCCCTCCAAATCTGGCCCCACTTTAACTATCCAATCATAGCTGCCTCCATCCCCCCGCAAGAACTCCCAGCTCCAATCAGTGAAGTCTCCATGCCATCCTCAACGCGCTGCAGATTCATTCTTCCTTCATGCCTTTGCTCATGCTGTTCCCCTCCGCCTCCCCATGCCACCCCCTTTCCCGAGTGCCCTCCCTCTTCCCTTTATACCGCTCCCAATTCAGCCTGGGCGCTAAAGCACAGCTCAAGTTGCGGCTTGTCAGGGTCCCTGGCAGCCAAGGCCCCTGCCTGTCTCCAAAAGAAACGCATGTAATATAACATGGAGGCTGAGGCTTAAGCCACAGCTCCTTCCTTTGGAGCTAGTTAAACCCACCCTGCCACAGACTGCACCACTCTCTCCCTCCTTTCCCATTCATTCTTAAGAGATGGCTTTGCTCTCTAAGGCTCCCTGCCACAAACACATCAGTCCCCTTTAAGAACAGAAGAATTGGCTTTTCTAGGTGGGGCTGGTCAGGGAGGCCTAAGTTGCCTGGTTGTAGAAGACAACAGCCAAGGCCTCTGGCACCAGATGGAACAGCTGTTCAGCTCACACTGACCTTTCTCTGGGCCTGTGGGTGTTATAAGCCCTCAGCTTTAACTTTTCCAGTATTTCTCTCAGGCTTCTACCTGTCAGATTTTCTGGCCACTTTCCTGCTGTGCATGGACTTTGAGCTGTGAGGCTTTGCCACCTTTTAGATTCCTAGTGGATGGTGAATCTGATTGGTTTGGGTGGCCTGGCCTTTGAGTGCTCAGTTCCTGCCTTGTCCTGAAACCCTCTTGCTTTTGTCCACATTCAGTGAATCCTTGCACATGGGGTGTGTAGGTGTGTGTGTGGAAGGATACCTGTGTGCAACACGCAGTTCCTCCATAAGGACCCAGGCCACTTAGATTTCTTCATGCTCCCAATACCCATTGCACAGATTGTATCACACAAATGAGCCTTCTTTCTCATAACCTGAGGCCACAGTTAGCAGCTTTAGGAAACTACAAGCTACTAATAAATTCATTTTGCCCTCGTGTCCTATGTAAAGACTGTATTTTATGGACCCAGTTAATAGATATGGTATACACTAGACATAAGCTTTGAAAAAGAATAGAATAGCTAATGTTTGTTAAACACTTTCAGTATGCCAAACTAGCACCTTTCATACATTATCAGAGTTATTCTTCCTCCAACCTGTATAATATACATATTATTATTATCCATATTTTACAGATGAAGCAGAAGCTTAGAAGGTTAAATAACATTCTTAAAGTTGCCTGGTTACTAACTGTGAGAGCCATGATTTGAATCCTGGATGTCTAATTCCAGAGCCTGCAAGCCATGTGGAAATGAATTATACTGAAAAATCTCAAATGTATATCTATGAGCTCTCTGTCCCTGGGAAAAATGGAGGAAGCAAAAAAGCATTAGAAAAAGTTGCCAGGTCCCCCAGGTTCTAATATTTTACTTGCCAAGAGAGAATGATGGCTTTACTTTGCCATACCCTGGGAGGGGGAAATTTTAAGGGAGCAGGGAAACTTATCGAAGGAAGGTAACCGAGACCCGCTAAAGGCCTTAAGAAAAGGAAGCTGAGAACCAAGACATTCTTTTAAATGTTCGCTACCGGGTGTTGCACAGGCTGGCTTCCCAAGTGCAACTTTTGAGTTCTTCCTAGGTTCCATGAAAGAGCCACGTTACCCCAAGTAGCCACTAGAGGGCTCAGCAGAGCTGCAGCCCCTAGCTGCCCTCTAGTGACGGTACTGAGAAGAGTGTCCTTGAGCCTTTTGGGCCTTCAAGGACCAACTGGCCATTGGGACAGACATCTGAAACTTTTGGATTCAACCAGCAACAAGAGAGCTTGCAGACTAAAGAGACCTTATTGTCAGAATGAGACATCCTTTCCGGGAAGGGAAGGGTCATCCTTCGCTACTCACTTAAGATCTGGGAGTAAGTGTGTTTTGTTAATCTATAGAGAAGAATGAAAAAATAAAATTATGCCACTAAGAAGCCTGTAAAAACAAAAACTGATGAAGTTCCCCAAAATTTTGAGTGGGAACTCAAGCCAAACCTAGAGACAATGAGTACAAGCTAGTGTGTAGCCATGTTTTTCTCAAATTGTGCTTGTGCCCCTCAGGTCATGAAACCCTGTACTAAGGACATGCAAGAATTTAGGGTCAATGTTCCTCATTTTCCCAGAGTTTCAGTTTGATCCAATGCAAAGTGTTATAGAAATTATACTCAACATTAATTATTAAGGTACAGATATTGAGCTTGTCCCAACCTTGAGGAATGTACATTTATACTTCCTTGGGAAAGTGTCCAACAGTGGAAAAATTTGAGAAACACTTATGTAGAGAAAAAAAATCTTAGTATTGGAGTCAGAAGACCTGGGAATGCAAACCCTTTGTTTCCATTGCTTTTTTTTTGGGGGGGGGGGGGGGGGGGGCGAATACCAGGGATTGAACTCAGGGGCACTTGGCTGCTAAGCCATATCCCCAGCCCTATTTTGTATTTTATTTAGAGACAAGGTCTCACTGAGTTGCTTAGTGCTTTGCCTTTGCTGAGGCTGGCTCTGAATTATTACCTTCCTGCCTCAGCCTCTTGGGCTGCTGGGATTATAGGTGTGCACCACTGCACCCAGCTTGTTTCCATTTCTATAAAAATGAAAATAATGACCTATCTCACAGGGTTGTTGTAAGAAACAACATGTAAAGTGATGTGTACACATAAAAAGAATGTACAAGGTGGATTGTGAATACCTCAAAGGTAGTGACTACATTTTACCTATCCTAATTCCTGACTCCTAGTTGCTTAATATGTTTTCTTTTAATTCATTGGTCACCTACATTTAATTTTCTTAGTCTGGTACAGTATACTATCTTGCTTGCTTATGTCTGTGAACCTTGTCTCCTTTATAAAACTGTGAACTTTTTATGCTAACCAGACTTTAGCATATCCATTTATCAAATATTTATCATGTCGAATACATAAAAGTATCAAGACACAGAAAATGTATAAAAGACCTAGCCCCAACTCAAAGTAGTTTATATTCTGTGGAGCAGAGAGACATATTAACATATATCAATTATACAAAATGAGTTCTAAAATATAATTGTGTCCACTAGTACTATGGAGATGTAATGGAGAGATTAGTCTGTTTATTGTGAAGAAGCTGTTTAGAGAAGGCCTCTTGGCTAGCATTTGAGTTGAGTCTCCTTGAATGAGTAGAAATTAAATAGGCAGGGACCTGGGGGAAGACTATTTCTGGTAAGGGGACTGACTTGAGCACTGGCGTGAAGTCATGAAAGGGCTCTATTTGATGAGATAATAATGTGTAGCCCTCTGTTAGCTCTGAGTTCCGATCCTTAATGGAGTACAGGGCAAGAAAAAGAAGGGGAAGGAGACACAGTCCATTTTACAAAATGTGGCTCTATGTTATAAGTTATGATCATTCTGTCAAAAGAAAATAAAGTCCCAAATAAGTTTCCATCATTGGTAAATATTAGCTAAGGGCTAAAAATATTCATTTTATTACTACAAATTACCATGGTTTACCAGATATGAAAAAAGTAAATTTCTACCCTGTTCTCCCTCCAACCCCTTAAAAAGTAAAAACATCCTGTTTTCCCCTAATCATTACTTTCTTTGCCTTCTTCCATTGCAAATGTTTCCCTCTAGGAGCTGAAAGAAGAATACATAATCCCTACATGTTATTCAAGAGAACAATGAAAGAAAGCTTTCCATCCCCCCAAATCTTTGATATTAGGAAATGATGTTTAATTTCTTTGAACTAAAATGTTGTCTTTTGAAATGCAAGTAGTATTAGGAAGTTGATACATTATGTTCCAGTGCTATAATTTGATTTGAGTGCTCATCTTGCCTTTAATAGCTTTAGGGGGAGAGAGAAGCAGATGGGGGGAAGGTGAATAGAGGAAGAAGCAAGATTACAGAAGAAAGTTGGGGAGTTCAAAACTAAATAAATATTGGCAAATTTGGATAAAGGTTCTCAATATCAAGAGAAGTGATGTAAGTATGATGTGAAAATGTGAGATCTATTACAGCACAAATATCTCATTTTCAGTAAAACAATGCTGTTTAAGCAATATAGCTTAACTATTCAAATACCAGCCAAGGTAGTAGGCTGCCAACAACACCGTCACTGCCTGTCTATGTTACCCTATCTATGCAAGCCCCTCTTTTGGATATCTTTACGTATTTCTGAGGATTAATGGATAAAGTTTGCACAGTGTACTTGGCTTTTCAAATAAAAGGTATGATGAAAA